GGAGCCGATGTTTCCATCATAAAGGACTCCGAATGGTTGCTTGACTGGCCTATTGTTTGCCCAGTTGCAACCATTCAGGGGGTGGGAGGCACACAAAGACCCAGACAGAGTGCCCAAATACTCACTGTCTTGGGACCAGAGGGACAATTAGCAAAAGTAGCCCCCTTTATTACTCCAATCCCTTGTTCTTTGTGGGGAAGAGATGTACTTGGACAGTTCGGCACAGTCATGCAAATTCCTCCTGCAAGCAACCAGGTTTTTCAATAGGGGTCATTGGTCAGCCGTTCCAAGCACCGATTAAGCTAGTCTGGAAAAGTGACCAGCCGGTCTGGGTAGATCAATGGTCTATGAAAAAGGAATGACTTGAACATTTAAAAATGCTTGTAAGAGAGCAATTTGAAGCAGGACACATTGTGCCAACAAACAGTCCCTGGAATACTCCTGTGTTTTGCATCCCTAAAAAGACTGGCAGATGGAGGATGCTACAGGACCCAAGGGCAGTAAACGCAGTCATTGAGCCTATGGGAGCGCTGCAGCCAGGGTTACCCTCACCTGCTATGCTCCCAGCAAATTGGTCGCTAATAATAATTGATTTAAAGGACTGCTTCTTTACCATATTTCTGCACCCCGAGGATGCCCCAAGATTTGCATTTTCCATCCCGGCATTGAACAATGAACAGCCCATGCAAAGGTATCACTGGGTTGTCCTTCCTCAGGGGATGAAAAACAGTCCTACAATATGACAAACAGTAGTGGCAAACGCAATTCACCCCATCAGAAAGCGTTTTCCCTCTGCAATAATCTACCACTACATGGATGATATTTTAATTAGCATGACCACAGAATATGAACTGCAAATTGTTGTTACTGCTTTGACTGATGCTGTCCAAGAAGCAGGGTTGCAGGTTGCTCCAGAGAAAATCCAGCGATCGCAACCCTGGAGCTATCTTGGATGGAGAATCACACAAGAGATTTCCCCACAGCCACTGCAGTTCGAGGTAAAAGACAATTTAACCTTACATGAGTTGCAAAAACTCCTAGGAGCCATTAATTGGTTAAGGTTTATTCTAGGTTTAACCACAGAGGAGCTACACCCTCTCTTTGTGTTACTTAAGGGGGACTCTGATCTAACGTCTAATAGGGCTCTGACAGCAGAGGCCAAGCAGGCGTTAGACATTGTGCCAAGGCGATGGAAAATAGGCAGAGCAGGAGGAGAGATCCTGAACTGCCAATCTGCCTGGCCTTAGTTCCCAGCAGGTACCAGCCATTTGCAGTCTTGTTTCAGTGGGACCAGACTGAAAAAGACCCACTACTGGTTCTAGAATGGCTCTTTCTGCCCCACACACCACCTAAAACTGTATGGACGATTAATGAAATGTTTGCTAAGTTTGTCATTAAAGGCAGAGGATGACTACAGGAACTGGACGGAAGGGATCCAGCGATCATCTCCATTCCAACCACGAAGGACAATTTAGATTGGTTGCTGGCTGAGGACGCCGAGTTCCAAGCTGCCTTGGCAGGTTTTGATGGTGACATTTCAGTCAATCTCCCTAAGCACAGACTTTGGGTAGAAATCAATAATTTACCTTTAAGAACCACGACTAGATGTAAAAGTCAGTAAAAGGCCTCACAGTCTTTACAGATGCATCTGGGAAAACACAAAAGGCTGCAGTGACTTGGGTAAATCCTGATACAGGAAAATGGGAACGAGAAATACAGACCATGAACCAATGCTCTGTGCAGGTTCTGGAACTGGCCGCCATTCGTATTGCCTTGGGAAAGTTTTCTGAACAACCAGTTAATATTGTCACTGATTCTTGTTATGCTGCAGGGTTAGTCTCACGTCTGGAATGTTCGTTTCTCCGAGATGTTTCTAATCCTCATTTGTTGTTTGAAATGCGTTCTATTTGGTTTCTTGTCAATCATAGAAGGTTTGATTTTTACATAATGCACACCAGATCTCACACTGACATGCCAGGGCCAATAGCTGAAGGGAACGGGGAAGCTGACAAAGCAGCTATGTTTAACACAGTACCCAGGGTCCTAGAACAAGTAAAATTGTCCCATTCATTTTTTCACCAGAATGCACGCTCTCTAAAGAGACAATTCAAAATAACAATTAATCAGGCTCAAGACATCATATTGACTTGTCCAGATTGCCAAAAAATCACCCCATGCCTACCGGACAAGCAATTGTAGAAAGGGCACATCGCACACTGAAAGAAATGTTAGCAAAACAAAGAGGGGGGAAGAAGCTGTATAGTCCGCAAGAACGTTTGTGGAAAGCCACATATGTTATCAATTTTTTAAATTGTGACAGTGCTGAAAGAAGTAGGTATAAGAAGCAGCACAAATCTCAGGTGTTTGCCTCTCCCAGGCCACTAGTCATAGTAAAAGATTTGATTTCGGGACAATGGACAGGACCTTTAGATCTTATGACTTGGGGGAGAGGTTACGCTTGTGTGGCAACAGGAAAAGAACTGAAGTGGATTCCCTCCAGGTGTGTAAAGCCCTATTTAGGTACACAATCACAGCTACAAGAACCAGATAGTGCAGGAGTTTAAACAGAGTTATGTTCCAAGTTTATACTAATGAATGACCAGTGTGGTAACAAGCAATCTACAAAATATCGGTGTGTACATGTGTGTGCGTGAATGATGGCCGTCAATGAATGAGATGAGTGAATGAATAAAAGAATTGTGTGACTGGACAAATATAAAAACACAGAACACCTCACAAAACCACATTTCCTCCACCACAAGGTCACTTTAAAAGAATTGAGTTTTTGCTATGCTTATCCTGTTTCTTAAATAAAGTTTGAAATCCCCACTTATTTAAATACCCTCAGGTTAATAAAGGTTATAGTTTTATTCACAGTTGGGCTAAGGTCCTAAGTTAATAAAGTAATTCTCCAAGTTGCACTACCCTATAGGAATATAAGAAAAGTTTAAAAAGGTTTACAATAGAGTTAAGAAACTGAGTAAGCAATGTGCTGGGTCATTGCGAAGCTTGGTAGTTTACAATGTTCTGATTGCTTGCACTGTTGTTTGCACTGTTTTTTGCACTGTTTTCATGACAGGGTATATGTGGGAGGCATGTCTAAAGGCACGAGGAGTGTGCCGGGGCATTGTGGTCCAAGAGAGCATGCGCCGTCATTGATAACTCTATTGGCTAAAGAAGTCACATGGTATGTAAGGATAAAGGAGCGCAGATTTTGAAATAAAGTCTCTTTGTTCACACCACCACGAGGAGTATACTTCTTCCTTGTTATACAAGGACTGCGTCAAGCTACATAACTGCAAGTATAAAAGTTAAGCAATGTTATCAGGTGCAATCCCTTTCACAAGCAAGCTACTAGACAGACAAAATACTAACAAATTTTTCATATTTTAACTTGGCAAGACAACCACCAGTCTCTATGATGTAGCTATACAATTACTGCACAGGAGCAAAGTAATAACATGCACAAAATGGACAATTAGTTGTCTGATTTCCTGAAACAACAGAACAACCCTGTCTAAATATTTTACAGAAGTATAAGATTCCTGTTTTCAAGTTTTAGTGATTCCTGGTATAAAGTTGTATTTTTAAATGTCCTCATTCTTCTACACAGCAAGAGACCACAAAAATAGGTATTGATATCACTCTTTTTATTTTTCAGTCAGAAATACATTTTCATAGGGCATTTCAATAAATAGCGGTGTTTATTTCTTAGACAAAACCTTTATCTTTTTGGCATGACCATATTCTCTTTTTCAAACTAAAGACTACACAGGAAAAGTTTATTAAAGAGATCACTATTCAATACATTAAATTTACAGAGGTGCAACTAACTCTTTAAAATACACATCAGTTGTAAATATTTTAATAAGCCAGAAAACATTAACCAAACCAGTAAAATAGTCTACTGGGGTCCTCTTCACTGCCTTCAGTTACAATAGTACAGTAAGTGGCAGAACAAGAAGAACTCTTCATTTTCCACAGTACATGCACTGACTAGTGCTTACTACTCATCCTGAAGAAACAAAAAACTCCTAAATTGTACTAGAAACAACCAATCAAATATGTTTCAAAACATCTTAATTTTAACTTCTAAATATGTAAACCAAAGTGAAGTTGCACACTGCTTCAGTAATAGACTGTACCTGAAAATGTCTAAAAATGTTTAATTTTTAAACATAAGTTACTAACATGTTTTAAATATATCTAAGAATACAGCTGTCAAAACTGCATTGGATGTCATATTTGGACAAAAAAATTCTTATGCAACAAATTAAACCAGTGTATTCAATCTACTAATATTCCAAATACTTATCCCAAACTCGTTTTATGAAAAAGAGGAGGCAAAACAATTACTTCCATACAGGAACAAAAAAAAATTTAATAGGTTTGAAGTAACAAATGAACAAAGGTTTATTTTATGAGTGAATTTCCTTGTCACCACCAATGCAGACCTAGTTTCCAAATGTTTGAATAGGATCTTTTAAAATAACAGGTGATTTAATTTAGCCAAACTCACATTAATTCCCATGATGTAAAAACTCATACATACATTTTATTGTAGAATACATTAAGAAACAAAAAGATAACTTGAGTACTAGTCCAAGAGGAATTTCTAACATCAAGCCAAAATTAGCAACAACCAAGCAGACCATCAATTTTTCAGTATTAAATTACCATAAATACTAGATAACTGTTAAAAAAAAAAAAACCAAACCCAAATCCAGAAAACAAAAGCCTTTTCTTTGTTAAAAGATGTTCAAAGAAATATCCACCAGCTACAGCCAAATTTGTATTAGAAGCTGCTTGCTCTGGAAAGATTTTTTTCCTCCATTTGTAACACAATGCATTGTCAAAATCCTATTCAAATAAATTACTTTCTAATAACATTTAGGTTATACCACCTACAATGTGGACAGTCATGTACGGTATGACAGTATATTTTTGCAGCAGAGAAAAATCCAGAAACTGGTTCTAAATTCTAGATTATGCTTCATAGTTCATGTATTGTTTCCTGCAAACATACGGTCGGTCCCCTCTAAGGGTAAGGTGTTGGAGCTGGTATTGTAACATGTCTGTGTCAGCAGGTTCCTCAATGTTCATTTTGTCTAAATTGAGGTAGTCCAGGGATTTAGAATGAGCCTTTTTGCCTTTTAAAAGGCAAAGAGGCAGGGGACCATGAAGTGCCTTGTAAGGTTCATATGGTAAAGCCTTAGTGCATTTATCCCCCGAGTTGAGCATCCATCTCCTCCTCCTCCCCTTTACTGCTGGGATCTCATATGGCTGATAGCATCTACTTCTAGTTTTGTATAAACGTGAGGAGTATGCAAGTCCTAAACCGAGCTGTTTAGAGTGCAAGTTAGGTTCAGATTTCCCTTTATTATCTTCATTTCCTGTATACTTTTGAGTTAATTTTAGCAGTTCCTCTCCAGTCGTGAAGCCAACCAGGTAGTTAGAATCCATCCGAAGGATCTGATAGCCTGAAATTGTCTGTCGCATTGGTGAGCAGGGGGTGCTGGAACATCGTGGTTTCTCTGCTTCTGTTTTGCCTGCAGAACTGACCTCTGCAAGAGGTACAGGGAGGGTAGATAGGGTAGTTCTGGACTTTCCATTTATGTCCATTTTAAGCAATGTGCTATTCTCCTAAAAACAAAACAGAGATGGATCAAAATAGAGTCCTTAACCACTAAAGGAGTTGAGAGAGAATCTCAGAAATTAAACTTATTATCACCCAGAAACCATAATCAGTACTTCTCTATTCTGTCTTGCACTCTACAGTGTCTCATAACAAAACCATCAGATGTCTGCCTTTTAAAATTATTTTGGGTCCCTCTTTAATAACAAATACTATAAATATACTTGATATTCTTAAATATGCCAAAAACATATTCTTGAGTAGCACCGTACAAAAAAATTAGGTACCTTTCCACTTTATTTTTTAATCCCTTTAGTCTATTTGATCCTTTATAACCCCTTTTCTTTGAGGCCATCTACATTCATTAGCATATCCATAGTAACTGTTGCTGTACTCAACTGCATATTTTCTCCAAAGTTTCCCTGGGGTGGGTTGCCCTTGGTTGACTGCCAGGTGCCCACCAAGCTGCTCTATCACTCCACCTCCTCAACCAGAAAGGGGGAGAAAATACAAGAAAAGTCTTGTGGATCATAAGAACAGGGGAGATCAGTCAGGAATTACTGTCACAGGCAAAACAGACTCAACTTGGGGAAATTAAATTAATTTATTGCCAACCAAATCAGAGTAGGATAATGAGAAATAAGAACAAATCTAAAAACTCCTTCCCCCCACCCCTTTCCTCTTCTCAGGTTCAACTTCACCCCCAAATTATCTACCTCCTCCCTCCCAAAGGGCATAGGGTGATGGGGAATAGAGGTTGCGGTCAGTTCATAACGCATTGCCTCTGCTGTTACTTCCTCCTCATGCTCTTCCCCTGCTCCAGTGGGGAGCACCACCCACAGGATACAGTTCTTCACATTCTCCAACATGGGTCCTCCACAGGACCACAGCTCCTGCCAGCAAACCTGTTCGAGTGTGGGCTCCTCTCCAGGGGCCTGTTCCATCATGGGCTCTCCATGGGCTGCAAATTCCTTTAGGGCACATCCACCTGCTCTGGCAAGGGGTAATCCATGTGCTGCAGGGTGGTTATCTGTTCCACCATGGACATCCATGGGTTGCAAAAACACTGCAACCTGATTTTGAGAATGACTGCTGTGTGAGAGAATGCATGTAGCTTGTTCAGATGATTGACAGTCATATGAAAGACTGTTGGTTGACAGGGCAGAGTTTGCATGTGGTCAATGGCCCAGACATGCTTGGATTAAATATCTATCACCGCTAATATGTACTTAACACCATCATTGTTTTTGGAAAACTGTTGCATAGCTACCAAGTCTGCTTGCCATTGTGCATCCACCTCTGCCACAATCATCTTTCTTTTTTTTTAAGTGCTTTCTTGTCTCCTAGTAGAAGCTGCAAGTGTCCTGGTTTGCAAGCCAGGTTGCCACTTGGTTTCTGTTCAGATCAGCCATTTGCCTTTTAGCAGCTTCAAAAAGGGGATTTGTACCCCCAAAGCTTCATAGAATCATAGAATCTCCTGAGTTGGAAGGGACCCACAAGGATCATCAAAGTCCAACTCCTGGTCCTGCACAGGACACCTCAAGAGTCACACCATGGGTCTGAGAGCGTTGTCCAAACACTTCTTGAGCTCCACTAGGTTTGGTGCTGTGACCACTTCTCTGAGGGAGCCTGTTCCAGTGCCCAACCAACCTCTGGATGAAGAACCTTTCCTAATATCCAACCTAAACCTCCCCTGACACAGCTTCATGCCATTCCCTCAGGTCCTGTCACTGGTCACCAGAGAGAATAGTGCCTGCTCCTCCGCTTCCCCTCATGAGGAAGTTGTAGACTGCGATGAGGTCTCCCCACATTATAGGTAGAGAGACAGTAAATCTCCCCAGAAGACAGTAAATCTCTTTTAACGGAAGTTGCTTCGCAGATGTGTACTGACATCCTCCTACTACACACACATATGAAAGGAAACCCTGAACAATCAATTTAACTCAAGTACAAAGAAACTTTGTTAACAAGGTATGAGGAGAGTTGGTTGCTATTCAAGACTTCTCCAGGATTTATTTTTCTTCCCTGCTCTCCAAACATTGCCGTCACTTCTATGCCCTTTCTCATTTCTTCAGTTGCTATAGGCCCAGACAAAACCCACAAATAGATAATACTACAAATTGACTTCTCCCTCTTCAGTCAGCTGGAGTTGTTTAATATGTTCTAAGGATAGCATCAACCTAAGGACAAGGAAAGACATACAGCACCAGCCTGCACCCCATAACTGTCTCACAGGTATCTGCAAGATTCTCCCAACCATGGGCAAAGGGAACTCCCCCAACACCATCACCCACCCTCTGTGATGCTTGCTTCAAAATCTAGTTTATGATTCACGGGCCCATTGGCCAGTTCTTCTGGTTTGCACAGTCTTTTTAATGAATCCCTTATGCTCTTTTCCTTACTGTCCCCATGCACATGTTCTTCTGAAGTTCACATTTTGTTCTGGCTAGCCATTTCAATGAACAATGCCTGTGCCTTACAGGATCACACAAAGCCCAAAGTTTGCCCCAGTAACACTGCATAATCATCCTGGTGGGTTGAGTCCAAATGCAGAAGCATCTCAATCCAGCTCAAAGGACTGATCTCTTCTTTGCACATGACAAGATTCTCCCAGAGGGTCCCTTGATGAGAATATGTGGGTATTGGTGAATAACGGGAGCAAAGTTCCAAATAACAAGATAAAGAACAAAGTGGTTAAACAATGGAAGCAATAACCAATAACTACATGAATGTAGGAAATTGTAAATTAAGACAGAAATCTAAGTCTTTGAAGGGGAAAAACAAATAGACAACACCTTCTTTTATCCAGGATGTTGCAAGCTGAGCCAACCCCCCCCATTTTGACCAGTTCTGTGGTGAGAACTTGCCCTAGTGATGAACTTTGCTCATTATAATATTATAACAGTAAAAATCGCACCTCTAGTTCGGATGCCCCCTGCCCACAGAAAGACCACCACTCACCAAGCATGCACCATGATTTCTTGTAACTGTACCTTTAAATCGAAATGAAGAAAGGGTGAGCCAATAGCAACCTAGCCAAGTAGTGACTTATGCAAGATTTGTTGAATGCCTAAGATTGTAACCATATAAGTATGCCTGTTTTTTCTTTAAAAAAAATAAATGCTAATATAGCAATAAAGTCTTCATAGCTTTTCAGTTGGACAAGAAACAGGTCTGGTAGTAAATTATGTTGTCATACCTAAAAATAAAGATCTGCAGAGATTAAACAAAAGCTATATTATACTCAAGTCTTTTTCCAGGGACAGCTATTCAAAGACAGACACTACTTTTAAATAGGACCTACTCTTGAAGTTATTAAGAAAAAATATCATGTTTAATCAACACAGTTTGGGGGTTTCGGGGGAGGGTTTTTTGAGTGGGTTTGTGTGTCCCCCAACTGAAGCACTTGAAATAACTAGTTCTTTGTCTTAATGTGACTGTGGTGGGTTAACCTTGGCTGGACAACAGGTGCCCACCAAGCTACTCTATCACATCCTCTCCTTAACTGGACAGAGGGGAGAAAATATGATGAATGGCCCATGGGTTGAGATAAGGGAGATGACTCAGTAAGTACTGTCACGGGCAAAACAGACTTGACCTGGGGAAATTAAGTAAATTTATTGCCAATCAAACATCAGAGTAGGATAATGACAAATAAAAACAAGTCTTAAAATAACTTCCCCCTACCTCTCTCTTCTTTCTGGGCTCAAATTCACTCCCATCTTCTCTACCTCCTCCCACTAAAGAGTGCAAGGGAACGGGGAATGGGATTTGCAGTCAGTTCATCATATATTGTCTTTACTGCTCCTTTCTCTGCACACTCTTTCCCCCACTCCAACCTGGGGTCCCACCCACAGGAGACAGTCCTCCATGAATTGTTCCAGCATGGGTCCTTTCCACAGGGTCACAAGTCCTGCCAGGAACCTGCTCCAGCACAGGCACTCCACAGTCTCCAATGGCCACAACTACATGCTCCACCGTGGACCTCCATGGACTGCAGGGGGACAGCCTACCTCACCACAGGCTGCAGGGGAATCTGCTCTGGCACCTGGAGTACCTCCTCCTCCTTCTTCACTGACCTTGGTGTCTGCAGAGTTGTTTCTCTCACATATTCTCACTCTTCTCTTCCAACTGCTGTTGCAGAGCAGTTTTTTCCCCTTCTTAAATATGTTGTCACAGAGGCACTACCACCATCGCTGATTGACTCAGCTTTGGCCAGCAGTGGGTTTACCTTGGTGGTGGCTGGCACCAGCTCTATTGGACATGAGAGAAGCTTCTGGCATCTTCTCACAGAAGTCCCCGTTGTAGCCTGTCCACTACCAAAACCTTGCCATGCAAACCCAATACAGCAATATTATCTGCAGCAGGTACTTGTTGAGAGAATCTTATGTGATAAACTGAGAAAATGATTCTGGTTAATTAAGAGGAAACAGTGTAAGGTCAATATGACCTGGAGAGAGAAAAGAAAAACAAATCGTAAAACTTAAATGGGTTCCTATAAAGAGATGAAACAAGTTACCTCCCTTTTACCTCGTGTAGGATTTCTAGTGAGAGAATTTTGTTTAGTTAGCTAGATAATAGTACCTTTCTTAAAATTTATAACTTTGTATAGATAACAAGCAAACATCTGCTGAATGTCTGATTTAACAATATATTATGGATGCTTATAGATAACATTCTTGTTAAGAAAAACATCTGTTGAATGTCTGACCTAACAATGTGTAATGTTTATGTTTATGTATAATGAATATTCATGTAGTAGCTGGAAATAAATGTAGAACAACTGTCTTCTTTGGGTGTGACAGGCGTTGGGAGTTGTTGAACCCCCTCCCTGATCACCCAGTGCTGAATTTGCTTTTATCATATAATAAATTCTGATTGGAAATCACCCGACTGGGTTTCTATTTCTCACAAACTTGGTGACCCCGACGTGATACCCTTTGTGTTCTGGGAGATATTTAGCGCCTGGGATAGGACCAAGGGTAACGCATGCATATGATAAAAGCAAGGAATTAAAAAGTTCCTGGAGTGTTGCAGCAAAAAGCCCATAATTCTTGTGCACGAAGACCCGAGTGAGAACAATGGACTGTGAGTATCACTTCAGGGGGGCGGATAAAGAGGTCGGAGTGAATGAGAAAATGAAACGCAGCGTAGCTGCGAATCGAGTGTGGAGTCCTTCTAACCTTGTTTCTGTCTCCCCGCGAGGGGTGCAGCAGGTGAAGGGATGAAGCGGTTGAACTGATGAGTGGACCTCTGGGGTCGGTGGGAGTTTTTCAGGAAGGACCACTGAGTCAGTGAAAAATGCTAGAAGGGATCCCAGAGGATCAGTGGGAAGGTAGGAAAACTTTAGAAGGGACCTCAGGAATATGGGGCAGGGAATTAGTAAATAAGTTGCCCCAGGAAGGAAAGGAGCAGGCAGGCATTGCCGGATATACCCTTAGACAGTCCTCTAGGGGTAATGATCTTAGACTGGGAAAAGAGGGAGAGTACTAAAAATAAAGAAAAACCAAAAATGATTCAGTACTGCATGATTGAGTGGACTAAAGAAAAAATAAGGAGTGATGGTATCTCTTGGCCTGTGTATGGATCATTTGAGGGTTGGATCTGCCAAGCCCTCAACAGTTATGTAAACGGCAAGGAGCCGATAAACTCTGAAGAGAGTGAATATGCTGCTTGCTGGAAAGAAGTTTGGCCAGAACCTACAAAAGTTTATAAGTTAACGAAAGAAAAGCAGGTCGAAAAGAATGTAACAGAAACCAAATGGGAGCCATTAGACAATTTACCTCCACCCTATAATCGAACCCCTCCACAGACCCCTCAGCAACCCCTTTTACAACCCCCTCCACAGACCCCTCAGCAACCCCTTTTA